GTCTCGTTAATTTTGTAAAACATTAAACACAAGTGAAAGCTATCACAGCTAAAATACTTAAAACTTGAAACATTAATGGTAAGTTTTTAATTTGAACTGTATCTACTCAAAATCGACGAAAAATTATCAAGAATGTAAAAGGGATATATCACGGTTTGTGCATCAGATAGGGCTCGTTTATTGTTTGTCTCTTTGGTTTGTGCCACCAATGGTTGCGCACATAAAATCGACACCATCGCCTGATGAATACCAGCAGTCAAACGCCCGAGGGGAGTGGGGTGGGGTGGGGTGTACTCCTTATAATGGTCTTTACGCGGAGGCTCTTCCGAATGGGGTGCCTTTGTCAGGTTTCAGGTATATGAAAGGGTAAGGGAATTTGTTATTTCGCTCTGTAAAGAAAAAACGCCCCAAGGGATAACAGATCTATTTAATCGCGGTGAAAAACTCGGTCGAGAAAACTTTAGTCATATTTCAAATACATTGCCTTTAAAGCAGTTAAAAATAATGAGAAGTAGTAAACTAGGTATGTGAAAGGGGTACCATTTGTCAATAGAAGGTATGATATAGGGGCACCTTTCCTGTCAAAAATGGTATATAAAAGGGCAAAGGAGTGGGACTTCGGGGAGCAGCCTCCCCGTATAAAACTTTGCTTCCCCCCCTCCCATGTAGAAACGTCGCGACCAATAACAGGCAGACTATAGTAAGTCAAACGTTAAACAAGCCTTCTCAGTATACCTATCGTCCGTCAGAAGGTCCAATATCATCGGATTATAATCAGAAGTAAATAACCGAGATAAATGTCCACAATGTTAGAGTTTTCAGCTAAACGTGAAATAAACGTGAGATAATTTTATTAGTTTTATCCCGTAGAAGAAACATTTGTCTTTTGTCTTTTTCAAAGTGGACTGATGGTAGGTGTAAACAAATTGAATTCAGGGTGTGGTTATCGACAGCTTATTAGGAACTCGCGTTCTCACCAATGATATCATTTAGAGCCCGGTCAACTTGGAATCATCTGTGCTTTTCGGATTTTCATTTAAAGTGGAGAGAAGCCTGTGATGATTGATGAGGGCTAAAGGAGTTTTGTTCATAAACTTAATTAATTACGACTTTCGTGATCGACAAACAAGATTATCGCGTACAATGTTTTAGGCAGTCGAATTCTAAATAACCTTATTTCAAGGTTTTGTCACAATAGCCCCTGTCTAGGGCTTATTTCGTAAACTGGGTAAATTTTTCGGCTATTTCGCAGTGGGGTACCGTGTTGAACCGTTCATTTGTAAAAGAATCGTTGTGTTTAATTTTACGCACATAGTTCACTATAATGAACATGTGACATATATCCCCAAATATACTTTCATAAAGCGTTCATAAGCTCTTTAGTACTTTCCCCAACTAAGATAATGTCAACTCCATTATTGCGGACACCCAGGACTCTTGTTCTTTTCCCTTTAACCCTCAAAATCTCCAAACAGATCTCCGTACATTACCTTGAAGTACCGGTTGAGAGAACTTGTTAAGAACATTTTCCCTGAGCTAATTATTTTATTTTTCTTTTCTCATAACCTTTCCTCTTGATTATGAATTGATATCTTTTAGAGAAAATTGATGTTGGTCACTCTTGGGACTAAAGGTGATGTTACACGGGACGATTCACACAGCGTTGCAATGCTGGAACAATGTTGTATCCATTCGAAACAATGTTGCAACGCTGTGTTATGCTATGATCGTCGTTGCGAATCGTCTCGTGTAACATCACCTTAAAGGGTTAATAACAAGCGCCCATTGTTATATTCCTAGACTTTCACTCAACTAAACAGGGACTGCCATTGGTTGATTCTTGGTCACGTGGCCTTGACTAAAATCAAATATATCGATCGTGATACATTAAACAATGTATCCCGCTCGGGATACATTGCTGCACGTGATCAAAGCATGGTGGAAAGTGGTGTGACAGAAGGCGGGAAAAACACCGCCAGGTCCTGCCAGTTTTCTTTTTCGTGAATGAACACAACAACACAAAAACGAAGCCTCAAGCTAAAAAGCAACGATTTTTAAAGTTATCCCAGAAGTTCCTAGAAGAAAAACAGCAGCTAGTGGAGGAAAAAGATGCAGATAATATGAGGAAAGTACTTTTGTTTGTAAATCATTCATTCAGTGGTTTTGAGAATTAAAATTTGTGTTGTTATAAGTACCGAGTCGACTGTTTTGGTTCGCTCCGGTTATTCTTTTGTTGCTGTTGAAGTGAAAGTCTAGAAATATAACAAAACACTTAACGTCAGGTCCCTCGGGAAACCAGTTAGTTTTGTTTTCCCTCGAGTCCTGATGTTTCCCTCGACTTCGTCTCGGGAAACATCAGGACTCTTGGGAAAACAAAACTAACTGTTCCCCTCGGGATCTGACATTAAGTGTATATTATATGAAGGGCAATGAAAGAAAGTTCTTTGACAAATTGCATCTTTTGTACATCAAATTATTTGGACATAATCGATTTATATTTTCTAAAACGTCAGATAGATAAGAAGGTCAATCTGAAGAAGTGGAGAAGAAGGGATTGAAATTGATGGCAAAGAAGTGTTTAACAGGAGAGATATTCCTGTTATCCACGATAACGAGGTGTCCGTGTTGCGAGAGTTGACTGAATGCACAGTTTAACGGATGTCGAAAACTGTGAGTGCTCCTCCTGAATTCACTTTACGAGTTTTGCTTCAGCCCATAAGTCCATTAAGTACATATTATTCCGCCATATGGAAATTTGTTGTCCTATGCTAAGAAATTGAATTTTTGCAAGTACAAGTATCTATTTTGTTTCTAGACTATTAATCTGTGGATGAAGAAAGTGAAGTCAGGTAAAGCGAGTTTTTTTCTGCTCTTAAACAATAGGTACAAAGACGCCGGGTAACAATGCAAACGCAATGTGACATTTATGCATGTCTTTCATAAGTGATAAGACTTCTTCGTCAAAAAGCGACTTTTGACGGTCTGTTGTTCTTATAAACCTTTAATTTCTTATAATGTCTTAAGTCATACCCACGCAGGTTTCCACTTCTAATCATCATTTACTAGTCTTTTAAAATTTTCACTTCAGTTTGAACATTCTTTCTTTCTTTTTGTCAAAACGGACCAATATACTGAGATACCACTGTTTTGATCAAACTACATAGAATCTTGCTTACCCATATTGGAGTAGGTGTGCAAATCTTAAATATGAATCAGTTTAGTAAACGCCACATGAAGACCAAAGATAAAATTGCTTCATAACATAAACGCTTCTCGTTTATTCATAACATAAAAGAAAACAATACCACCCGACAACTGTTTGCAATATTCAATGATTGATAATCCAAAACACGCACATTCACCTAAGCTCGTCATAGCGGCGGTGCAGCTTAGTGTCTCCTAAACCTCTAAGATGTAATGGGATAGGCCAGTTTCGAATATCAAAATTCACACTTAACTCCGAGGTTAAGGGGAACTGAAACAAAAGAAATGAATAATTTCTTTGAATCGCATTGGCTAATGCTTCAGTGATGTACGAGCTGCTCGTAAGGTGTTCCCTCATTGGTATCAGAAAACAACAACACATTGTTTATCATTATTTCCCATTGTTTCACGGTTAGGGTATCGACCAATTGGATTTTAGGGTTAGGAGAGCTGGTACATCAGTCTCGGGTGCCAAGTATCAATTTTAATAATTTGAACCTGACCTCTTTGCATACGCAGTAATTTATGATAAATCAACCTCGTTCCTAGCGTGCTTGTCAAGTCTCGCTGAAGTACAAGAGCATGATAACGAGGTTACTGATAACTAATTTGTGAGTAGTAAACATATAGCACAAATAATAAATGGTGTAGTTAGAGTGATTTAAGTGAACCGGTTAAATAGATAGTAGAATGCTACGCACTATTATGCATTTAATTCTATTGTCCTCTTGTGTGTATTTGTAGTTATTTTGCACTAGTTGTTATGAACTGTATCACGGAGCCAAGTAAAATCGCTCCAAAAGCCTGGTCACGACTATGCTTGGTTATTGCAATTGGTGCGATATTCAAACATTATTATTGGGGCTTTTTAAGCCTTGCTCGGAACTATAATGATATCATACATTTTGGTTAATTTTATTCCAAACTTGAAGCATTAGAAACCTAATTACCGTATATCCTCAGTCAGAAAGGCTAAATTCGTTACTTGTTTGCCAGTGAATTGGCTTCACATCAACATCTTATTACGTCGGTAAAGTCGATAAGACATCACACCAATTGCAACTTGCTTGTTATATAAACAGGCAAAAATTAAAAAAAAAAACATAAATATGTTTATTTGAGGAAGGACGAAATATTTTGCAATCAATAATATGAAACACACTTCCAAACCAAGCCTCGAACAGTCATGACCTCATGCTTAAACAAACTCAGTTACTTTTGAATAAAATACTGCAGACAATATATAAAACTGAATATATAGCAAAATAAACACACCAATAGTCTGTTCACAACTTTCCTGGTTTCTCATTGTACAAGCGTTAATGAGAGGAACGCTGCAAGCCTTATGCTCCTCACACAAACAAATTAAGTAAACGTCAAATCATTTAACATGTTCATGGAGTAAACGTTTGAGAAATCAGGGGAGTTTGTACGTGAAAAATGAAACCTGAACGTCTACAACTCATACGCTCTAAGATCAAACGCAGCAAACTACAAAACTGAGGAGTTACATGTTTCAAAACAGTGAGGGAGGGGATAAATTATTTTTTAAAAAAAATCTTTTTTAATTATATGCCTAATTCTGCCTTGTTCAGCAATGCTTAAAAAGGGAACAGCAGTGGCTTACTCTCGCCTCCAGCTCATAAAACAGTGATTTTCCGGAGTATTCAGTTTCATTTCCCCTTTTAAAATCATATTGGTTGAAAAGTGATAATCAAAAGCAGCCCAAATAACAAAGGTTGCGCTATAGCCGGTTGATCAAATTAGCAGACGATTAGAGACGCGGCGCTCTGGACGAAATTTCTTTGGCCTAGCTGCCATCGATCTATCAAAGGCTTTCGACTGATTTGCTATAATTTACTCCTTGCAAATTTAAAGCATATGGCGTACAAAAGCCAGCCCTTCAATTGATAAGATCAATTGATAAGATCATATCTGCATGACAACAAACAATTGCAAAGGGTAATATGCAATGACACATGCTCTAACTGGTCATGATTCTACGCTCTGGTGTCCTTCAGAGAAGTCTTCTCAATCTCTTATTGTTTAACTTCTTTATGAATAACATGAACCAATCCGTCACCGTCTCCTCACTACACCTCTACGCAAACGACACTACCCAATTGTGCTTTAATGTACTTTAAATAAAGACACAAAAGGTATTTCATCCTGGCTTGACCACAATTATCTTAAGGCCTATGGCGACAAGGTGAAAGTGATATGATCCTTGGAAACTCTTTGTACTATTTTGACATGAAGTTTGATGACCTCTCCATCTGTCTCAAAGAACACTTAACTATTCTTGGAGAACACTTAAAATCAGTTTTCTTTCAAATAGCATGTAAATGTGTTACTAAAAAGTATACGCTAAGATAAGATAAGAGCTATTAATATAATATACATGTACAAAAGATGGGGCTACAATAAGAGCTTACTACTTGTTTAGTGATTTTCCATTGAAGAGTAAACGGAAAATCAACAGGAAACTTTAATATTTACCAGGCAAAATTTACTCTTGTAACTCCGCAGTTCTCTACAGTTGCATTTCCTTAAATTCGATATGACTCAAAACTGAACTTCTTTTCAAAATTATAAAAACAAAGGACATTATTACTCACTAGTCAGCCTCGTACGCAAAGTCCCACCCCGCGAGGCCCTTTCAGGGCTTCAAAAAAACTACATCACTGCCAAGTGACACCAATGACTACGTAAACGCTAAGTTTCACACCAGAAAGAAAACTCTGCTCGAAGGGAAGCAAACTGAAGTCCTCTTTGTGTTACACACAGGCATGGTTTCTTTGACATCAAACACTTTGTGCGACCCTGTAAATATACAAACATTTGATGCATTTACACACGCAAGTCTTAACACTCTTTGAAAGGCTTCCAGTCCAAAAAGACACCCTGTTCAAGACGCTTAATAGTGAAATTGTGTACCCTCTTTAAGACTCAAGACCTTAAAACCATACCCTGTCCAGCGGCACATACCCGTATAGGCCAAATATGGGAGTGCCCCTCCCCCCCGGGCCTTTGTGATCGTCAAAATTGTTGAAGTCTTCTCTAATTCTATGCATCTTTATTTCTCAGTAATTTCCTTAATTTTTCAACTTTCGAATTCTTTTCTTAAGACCTTAAAAATATATAGTAAGAAAAAAATAAGATATATTTCTACTTACGCTTTTAATGATTTGCATTAAACTGAATCGTAAAGTCGTCCCCAATCAGAAAAGTTTTCCGATTCCCGGAGACATTTCATGGCCTTCTGAAGAGCATGACTAGCACTTTCACCAGCTCTCAGGTGTTGGTAGAAACTTTTCATAAACTCCATTGTGGCTTCGTCATCGATGGCCCACAGTGACACCAGCACAGAACGAGCACCAGCAAACAAGAGAGCCCGTGCCATATCGACGACGCCTTCGGAGTTAACTTCTCCTTTACCACTATGGTAACAACTGAGCACAACCAGCTTCGCTCTCAACTTGTAACTTGTATATCAGACATCTTCAAAATATAATCCTCTTCCATAGGGGTAGGATTCTTTGATTTCCAACCGGGGTTTGGAGCCAAGGCAATTTCACCGGTTTCCTTTCGTCTGTGGGCTGCAATGTGAACTAAAGCGACTGACTCTATTCTTTTAAGCACCTCCTGTTTTGTTGCAGCTTCTCCTGTAAGTGGTTGGCCGTTTAGGATTCCGCCAATCATCTCCACTTCCTTTTTTGCGTAATTAAGTTGCATGTAAATGGGCCTACCCCATTAATCTGTAACTTTCTCCAGACTTGGATCTCCAACAAGCAGGACTCCATCTTTAGTGTGGTGATCAGCTGAAGAATCAGCGATCAGCTTCAAAACTGCAAGTGAGAGAACAGTGCGAATCCTTAAAGATTCACTTAGGGCTGCCCATGGAGCTAAAGACAAAGCACCATCAGGGACTACAATGAGTTCATCACAGTTAAGCAAATCTTCAATGGGACCAATAACAACATCATACAGTGGCTGTAACCAGTTAGTATTCCTGCGTGACGGCTCCAATAGGGAACTTAAGAACCACGACGAAGTTCACGACGACGACGTCTGTTGACTGGGAAAAGACTGGAACGAGAACGTCGGTTTCGGCGGGAAAAAGGAAAGTTAAGATGCGGTCGCTCGGTAGGTCGACGACGACGACAATGAATGTAAACACAGATGTAAAACTGTGATGTTCGTTCGCAACAAAGTTTTTCGCAATGCCGTCTTTCAAAACAACGCAAGATCTTATTTGTTCAAGCCGTACGTCTAATTTCATTGACGATGAAAAATTTCTTGTGTTGTCTGACCTTTTCGAGTGGAAATACACCTACTTTCCGTACGAAATTATTCAACTTTCAACTTGAATGAGATAGCCGAGTCCGAGTGTCCGTCAGATTTTAGATCTCGAAAAAGAGACATTCTGATGTGATAGCTGTTTTCCATGTAAAGTTTATTTCCTCTACATTTAAGATATATGATTTGCCTTACCTAAATACGTACAAATAAATTTATCACAATTCACTTACGAGTTCGCTCGCTTGGCCTCCTCAGCAGTTGTCATTCTTCAAAGTAAAATGAATTCATTTGTCGAATTTTCAATCAACATCGCTCGTCTGGAGAAAAAAGGAACGATACCTTGATTTAGGAGGACAAAAAAATGCAAAGGCCTTCAAAAATCGCTTAAAACAGTGGATTTATACCTGCCGAAGCTTGTGGATTGCAGGACGACGTGATTCTACTTTGTTTGGCGTCGTCGACGACACCACGACGACCAAATTTACTAGTCGCGCTTGCGCAGTACAGTGTAACTCACTTCCGGTCGTCGTCGACCAAGCCGTCGTCGTGGTTCTTAAGTTCCCTAATATTCGATCATTGACTCGAGTATTGGGAGCTGGACTGTCGCTTACCTTGTCCAATGACCGATTCTCGCATCTTACATTGACCCCAGCATCGATTTTTTTTTAAAGAAGCTTCCAAAAGAGCAGCAAATGAATCTTCATGTACATTTTCCATTGTTAACTTTGCTTGCCTGAATACAGCGTTGCTTTCCTTTCCCAATACCCGTAAATTAATTGTTTCATTTTGTATTGCAAGAAAAGCTATCAAAGTGGATGTTTTTCTTGAAATGTTTGTAACCTCTTCTTCAGGTTTATTGCACCTGTGTGGAAATGATGGGAAGCCACATTTTATTTCCAAGGCGTCTTGCAAGGCTTGTGCTTTTCCTTGCTCAGCAGCGTCTAAAGCCTCGTCCTTCTTTTGAAGCATTATAAGAACTTGCCATAAATAGGTGTAGGCATTTTTCCAAATCGTACGGAAACTCCAGACATCTTTGGAAATGAGACTGGCTCTAATAGTGTTATGAGTTTCTACGCTGAATCTAAAATGAGCTAAAACTTCTTTCAAAGGATCTAAATTTAAATGAGAGATGCCTAGATTGTAATAGGCACGTCCTTCTCCGGCCCTGTCGCCAACGTCCTTGGCAATGCTAAGGTCTTTCTCGTGGTACTCTATTGCTCGTTGGAAGTCGCCGAGAGAGTTATAAGCATTGCCGAGATTGCAATAGGCACGTCCTTCTCCGGCCCTCTTGCCGACGTCCTTGGCAATGCTAAGGTGTTTCTCGTGGTACTCTAGTGCTCGTTGGAAGTCGCGGAGAAAGTGATAAGCATTGCCGAGATTGCCATAGGCACGTCCTTCTCCGGCCCTGATGCCGACGTCCTTGGTAATGCTAAGGTGCTTCTCGTGGTAATCTATTGCTCGCTGGAAGTCGCCAATAGAGTGATAAGCATTGCCGAGATTGCAATAGGCACGTCCTTCTCCGGCCCTGTTGCCGACGTCCTTTGCAATGCTAAGGTGTTTCTCGTGATACTCTATTGCTCGTTGGAACTTGCCGAGAGAGTGATAAGCATTGCCGAGATTGCAATAGGCACGTCCTTCTCCGGCCCTGTTGTCGACGTCCTTGGTAATGCTAAGGTGTTTCTCGTGATACTGTATTGCTCGTTGGAAGTCGCGAAAGTTTTGATAAGCATTGCCAAGATTGCAACTGGCACGTCCTTCTCCAGCCCTGTTGCCGACGTCCTTGGCAATGCTAAGGTGTTTCTCGTGGTACTCTATTGCTCGTTGGAAGTCGCCGAGAGAGTGATAAGCATTGCCGAGATTACAATAGGCACGTCCTTCTCCGTCCCTGTTGCCGACGTCCTTTGCATCGCTAAGGTGTTTCTCGTGATACTCTATTGCTCGTTGGAAGTCGCCAAAAATTTGATAAGTATTGCCGAGATTACCACTGGCAATTCCTTCTCCGGCCCTGTTGCCGACGTCCTTGGCAATGCCAAGATGTTTCTCGTGTAACTTGATGGTTCTGGTTGGCAATACCTCCAGCTGAACGGAGAGCGGTTAATATGGACAAGCGACTTAGAATCCTTGAAGAATTTTGTTGAAAATTGTCTTCAGCAGCAAGGAAAGTGGACATCGCCCGGCGGAAATAATAAGCAATTCAAAAGTTGCAATGATAAGCTTGTTATAACCTGGTACTTCAAGAAACAACTTGCTCTTGTTTTCCAAGGACAAGATGGTCCATTTTTAAAAGAAAAATTGTTCAAACTGGTTCAGGACAAGCCGGAGATGACAACCGATTCGCCGAATCGACCCACAAGCCAAAATCAAAACCAACAGACAACGGATAATGAAGCGGACTCGGGATCAGAAAATTCTTTATTTGCTGAGCTGAGAGACATAAAATACAGCCTGACGGTATTAAAGAAGCAGGTCGATGATAATACAAGTTCCTTATCGAGATATCCACAAAATCAAGAAAATATTGGCAACGAAGAACTTATGAAACACAAAGGGAAGTGTGAAAAGCTACAGACAGCATTATGCAACAAAGATAAAGAAATTAATGCGCTGAAAATGAAAATTATGTCTCTTGAGACCCGCGCATCGTCCGCGGAACAGGAAAACGACTCCCTAAAATTAGAGGAATCAGAGTTACGAGGTAACTGCCCCTCAAGGAAACTCAAAGAGTGATAATGCCCAGTCTAATGAGAGCTCTAATCCTGAAAACGAATGGCAAACCGTTGACGCGAAAAAGAAAAAGAAAAAGAACAAAACACGGAGAAAGAAGATCAGTGAAGCACAGTCCAACGCCCATGATGACACGGAAAATTCCACGCCAGCAAACGAAAGTACTACCTTGTTGATTGGAGACTCTATGATAAAGAATATCCAAGGTACACGTTTAGGAAAAGCCGTTGGTCATCGGGTGGTGGTTAAATCGTTCTCCGGTGCCACCACCAAAGCCATGAAGGATTACCTTAAACCTAATTTGGAGCTTTCACCGGACCAAGTGATTCTGCATGTGGACACTAATGATCTCAAAAGTAAAGAACCACAACAAGTTGCCGGCTCAGTGGTAGATCTCGCCAGACAAATTGAAAACTCATCCGATGCCAATTATATCTGAGCTCGTGCAAAGAAGAGACGGATTCAATGAAGCCGTGAAGACAGTTAATAAACAACTGAAGTTCTACTGCCGGCAGAATGGATGGAAATTTATCCAGCATCAAAACATCTCCGAAAAGGAACTTAACAAGGGCGGACTACATCTTAATTTTAAAGGTAATCAACAGTTTTTTAAGAACTTTCAGATGAGTTTAGGTTGAAATGATGCGCTATCCACCGATGCCTTGCCTATTCAATGTACAAAACGCAATACTGAGGAATCTCATGAGCCTACCTCAGTGTTGCCATCTAAACGAGGTTTTAAATTAGCCTCTTTAAATATCAATAAATTAATCACACACATAGATCAACTTAGAATTCTTCTAGCGCATAACGAAATAGATATTTTATCGATTAATGAAACTAAGCTCAATGAAACTATTAGCGACAATGAGGTCAACATCTCTGGCTATGATATAATTCGACGTGATAGAATTACAAGCGGTGGAGGAGGAGTGTGTTTCCATGTGAAAAGTTCAATAAATTTTACCATACGAAATGATTTAAACATGGACACTCTTGAAAATCTATGTCTGGAAATTCAAAAACCTAGATCTAAACCGTTTGTTTGTGCCACGTGGTATAGACCACCTGATTCTCCTATTGGTATTTTTTCACCTTTCGAAACTTTAATTGGGAAACTCGATTCCGAAAATATTGAATATTTTCTAATGGGAGACCTTAACTGCGACATGATTGCTACTCGATATGACAATAATACATGCAAATTAATGAGTATCACTGATATTTATGGTCTACAGCAACTTATCACTGAACCAACCAGAATAACTCCGACTTCTGCAACTTTGATTGATGTAATCTATACTAATTGTCCAGATAAAGTTGTGTGTTCGGGGGTTCGTCATATCAGTATTAGCGATCATAGCATAGTTTTTGCCTATCGAAAATTATCCGTGAATGGAATGTCTGGTGGGCACAATGCTATAACCTACAGAAACTTTCGAAAATTTAATCGAATAAATTTTCGGAATGATATTGCATCTCTTTGTTGGGATCACATATACAATTCAACTGATCCCAATCAAATGTGGCTACAATGGAAATGCTCGTTTCTATCTATTGTTAACAAGCAAGCTCCCTTGAGGACAATGCGTGTTCGCACGCGTAGTTCCCCATGGATTACATCTGAGCTTAAGAAACGAATGCATGATCGGATATTCTAAAGATTAAAGCAAGTAAATCGAATGATTCAAATGACTGGTCACCTTTTAAAAAACAACGCAATATAGTAAATAGCGAAATCAGATTAGCCAAGCAAGCCTATTATCAAAATAGTTTTAACAAGCATACGGGCGATTCTAAAAAGACCTGGCAGACTATCAATGAACTTACTTCGCGAAAATCTGGGAAAAAAATCGGTGACATCTCTGAAAGTAAATGGAGTATCAATAACAAATCCAACTGTGCTGTCGAACCAATTTAATAATCACTTTGCTACTATCGGTCCAGAACTTGCTAGCAATATTGATTCCTCAAATAGTGATGGTTATCAAAAGTACCTCACTGGCACAGATAAACGGTTTCAGCTCCATCCGACCAGTACAAAATAAAGTTCTCTCACTTTTGAATCGTCTAAATAGGTCAAAGGCAGCTGGCCTTGACAAGATATCTGCTAGGCTCATTCGGGAATGTGCAGATCTCATTTGCATTCCTGTCCGTGATATTTTTAACCAGTCAATAAGTCAAGGCATATTTCCGGATGACTGGAAATGCGCAAAGGTCACCCCACTTTTTAAACAAGGCGATCGGGACGACTTAAACAATTATCGTCCAATTTCGGTGATCTCAGTTATGGCCAAGGTCTTTGAAAGAATCGTCTATGATCAATTATATGCCTACCTAGAAGAGCACAATATAATCTGTAAATATCAATCAGGCTTTCGCGCTATTCACTCAACTGTCACGGCCCTCCTTGAGGCCACGGACACTTGGGCGTACAATATTGACCGAGGTAAAATCAACGCCGTTGTTTCTTAGATCTCAGAAAGGCCTTCGACACAGTTGACCATGAGATCCTTTTATCAAAATTAAGCAATTACGGCATATATGGTAACGCGCACCAATGGTTTAAGTCGTATTTAGAGAATCGTACTCAAATGTGCTCCATCAACGGATCGCTCTCTCAAAGCTGTTTATCAAGTTGTGGTGTTCCCCAGGGGACGATTTTAGGTCCATTATTATTTCTGTTATACATCAACGATCTTCCAAACTGTCTTTCAAATTGTGAGCCGAGGATGTACGCTGATGATACCCACGTTACGTACGCAGGTGATAATGCAGACAATATTCAGTTGCATCTAAATCAAGATTTAGAAAATGTTCACAATTGGCTGAGAGCAAACAAACTTACTCTAAATATGACTAAAACCGAATTTATGCTTATCGGATCTAGGCAGAGGCTAAGTACTCTCACAGAGTCTCCGACATTTGCAATTAATGATTTTTAAGTTAGCCAGGTCACTACTGCAAAATCACTTGGAGTGACCATCGATGACAGACTTGATTGGAGTGGCCACATCGAGAAAGTAACAAAGAAAATCGCTTTTGGTATTGGGGCCATAAAACGAATAAGGCACCTTGTCCCTCAGGCGACCTTACAACTAATATATCAAGCTTTAATACAGCCACACTTTGATTATTGCATTGTTTGGGGAAACTGTGGGATAACCTTACGGAATAAGGTTCAAAAGCTACAAAACAGAGCAGCCCGTGTTTTGACCTACTCAAGCTATGACGCAGACGCTGGTCACCTTTTCAAACTTCTAGGGTGGAAAAACCTAGCTTGCCAGCAACAATTTCAAAGAGCTACGATGGTTTACAGGTCTCTGCACGGGTTGGCTCCAAACTATCTTAGTTCTAAATTTGAAAGGCGAGAAGACGCATATAACCTAAGGGACTCTGAAAATGAACTCAATGTTCCATTACCGCGCACAAACTATTACAAAAACAGCTTCAGCTACAGTGGCGCCATTCTCTGGAACAGTCTTCCTTGTAGCTTTAGGGAAGCAGAGGCCCTTGGCAATTTAAACGATTACTCAAAGAACTGTAAGGCACGGCATTCGTGGAAAGCAGCTTTTTTATTGAAATATTTTTATTATATCAGTATTAGGCATTTTTAAAGCTGACGAATCTTGCACCGTCGATAAATAAAGATTATCTATCTATCTATCTATCTATCTATCTATCTATCTATCTATCTTCTATCTATCTATCTATCTATCGATCGATCGATCGATCGATCTATCTATCTATCTATCTATCTATCTATCTGTCTATCTATCTATCTATCTATCTAACTCTAATGCTCGTTGGAAGTCGCCGAGGTTTTCATAAGCAATGCCGAGATTGCCATAGGCACGTCCTTCTCCGGCCCTGTCGCCGATGTCCCTTGCAATGCTAAGGTGTTTCTCGTGGTACTCTATTACTCGTTGGAAGTCGGCGAGACAGTGATAAGCATTGCCGAGATTGCAATAGGTACGTCCTTCTCTGGCCCTGTTGCCGACGTCCTTGGCAATGCTAAGGTGTTTCTCGTGATACTGTATTGCTCGTTGAAAGTCGCGAAAGTTTTGATAAGCATTGCCAAGATTGCAACTGGCACGTCCTTCTCCAGCCCTGTTGCCGACGTCCTTGGCAATGCTAAGGTGTTCCTCGTGGTACTCTATTGCTTGTTGGAAGTCGCCGAGGTTTTTATAAGCATTGCCGAGATTGCCATAGGCACGTCCTTCTCCGCCTCTGTTGCCAACGTCCTTGGCAATGCTAAGGTGCTTCTCGTGGTACTCTATTGCTCGTTGGAAGACGCCAAGGTTTTTATAAGCATTGATGAGATTGCCATAGGCACGTCCTTCTCCGGCCCCGTCGCCGACGTCCTTGGCAATGCTAACGTCTTTCTTGTGATACTCTATTACTCGTTGGAAGTCGCCGATAGAGTGATAAGCATTGCCGAGATTGCAATAGGCACCTCCTTCTCCAGCCCTGTTGCCAACGTCCTTGGCGATGCTAAGCTCTTTCCCGTGGTACTCTATTACTCGTTGGAAGTCGGCGAGAGAGTGATAAGCATTGCCGAGATTGCAATAGGCACCTCCTTCTCCGGCCCTGTTGCCAACGTCCTTGGCGATGCTAAGGTCTTTCTCGTGGTACTCTATTAGTCGTTGGAAGTCGGCGAGAGAGTGTTAAGCATTGCCGAGATTGCAATAGGCACGTCCTTCTCTGGCCCTGTTGCCAACGTCCTTGGCAATGCTAACGTGTTTCGCGTGATACTGTATTGCTCGTTGGAAGTCGCGAAAGTCTTGATAAGCATTGCCAAGATTGCAACTGGCACGTCCTTCTCCAGCCCTGTTGCCGACGTCCTTGGCAATGCTATTGTGTTCCTCGTGGTACTCTATTGCTCGTTGGAAGTCGCCGAGGTTTTTATAAGCATTGCCGAGATTGCCATAGGCACGTCCTTCTCCGGCCCCGTCGCCAACGTCCTTGGCAATGCTTAGGTGTTTCTCGGGCTAGTCTATTGCTCGTTGGAAGTCGCCGAGGTTTTCATAAGCATTGCCGAGATTGCCATGGGCACGCACTTCTCCGGCCAAGTCGACGACGTCCATGGAAATGCTAAGGTGTTTCTCGTGGTACTCTAGTGCTCGTTGGAAGTCGCCGATAGAGTGATAAGCATTGCCGAGATTGCAATAGGCACCTCATTCTCAGGCCCTGTTGCCAAAATCCTTGGCAATGCTAAGGCCTTTCTCGTGGTACCCTATTATTCGTTGGAAGTCGCCGAGAGAGTGATAAGCATTGCCAAGATTGCAATAGGCACCTCCTTCTCCGGCCCTGTTGCCAACGTCCTTGGCAATGCTATGGTTTTCTCCTGGTACTCTATTACTTGTTGGAAGTCGCCGAGAGAGTTATAAGCATTGCCGAGATTGCAATAGGCACGTCCTTCTCCGGCCCTGTCGCCGACGTCTTTGGCAATGCTAAGGTCTTTCTCGGGGTACTCTATTGCTTGTTGCAAGACGGCGAGAGAATGATAAGCATTGCCGAGATTGCAATAGGCACGTCCTTCTCCGGCCCTGTTGCCAACGTCCTTGGCAATGCTAATTTAAGGTGTTTCTCGTGATACTCTATAGCTCGTTGGAAAAGCATTGCCAATATTGTCACTGGCACGTCCTTTTGATGCCCTGTTGCCGACGTCCTTGACAATGCTAAGATGCTTCTCGTGGTACTCTATTGCTCGTTGGAAGTCGCCTATAGAGAGATAAGCATTGCCAAGATTGCCACTGCCACCTTCTTCTCCGGCCCTGTTGCCGACGTCCTTGGCAATGCTAAGGTGTTTCTCGTGCTACTCTATTACTCGTTGGAAGTCGCCGAGATTTTTATAAGCGTTGCCGAGATTGCAATACGCAAGTCGTTGTCCGGCCCTGTTGCCGACGTCCTTGGCAATGCTAAGGTGTTTCTCGTGAAACTCTATTGCTCGTTAGAAGTCGCCAAAGTTTTGTTAAGCATTGCCATGATTGCCACTGGCACGTCCTTCTCCGGGCCTGTTGCCGACGTCCTTGGCAATGCTAAGGGTTTCTCGTGATACTCTATTGCTCGTTGGAAGTCGCCAAAGTTTTGATAAGCATTGCCGAGATTGCAATAGGCACGTCGCTGTCCGGCCCTGTTAACGACGTCCTTGGCAATGCTAAGGTGTTTCTCGTGATACTCTATTGCTCGTTAGAAGTCGCGAAAGTTTTGTTAACCATTGCCGACATTGCCACTGGCACTTCGTTCTCCGGCCCCGTTGCCGACGTCCTTGGCAATGCTAAGGTGTTTCTCGTGGTACTCTATTGCTCGTTGGAAGTCGCTGAGGTTTTTATAAGCATTGCCGAGATTGCCACAGGCACGTCCTTCTCCGGCGCTGTCGCCGACGTCGTTGGCAATGCTAAGGTGTTTCTCGTTATACTCTATTGCTCGTTGGAAGTCGCCGAGGTTTTTATAAGCATTGCCGAGATTGCAATTGGCACGTCCTTCTGCGGCCCTGTTGCCGATGTCCCTAGCAATGCTAAGGTGTTTCTCGTGGTAGTCTATTGCTCGTTGGAAGTCGCCGAGGTTTTCCTAAGCATTGCCGAGATTGCCATAGGCACGTACTTCTCCGGCCAAGTAGACGACGTCTTTGGAGATGCTAAAGTGTTTCTTGTGGTACTTTATTGCTTGTTGGAAGGCGCCGATAGAGTGATAAGCATTGCCGAGATTGCAATAGGCACCTCCTTCTCCGGCCCTGTTGCCAACGTCCTTGGCAAAGCTAAGGTCTTTCTTGTGGTACTCTATTATTCGTTCAAAGTCGCAGAGGTTTTTATAAGCATTGCCGAGATTTCAATGGCACGTGTTCTCCTGCCCTGTCGCTGACGTCCTTGGCAATGCTAAGGTGTTTCTCGTGGTTTTCTATTGCTCTTTGGAAGTCTCCGATGGCGAGATAAGCATATCCGAGATTGCAATAGGCACCTCCTTCTCCGGCCCTGTTACCAACGTGCTTGGCGATTTTAAGGTCTTTTTCGTGGTACTCTATTACTCGTTGGAAGTCGCCGAGGTTATTATAAGCATTGCCGAGATTGCCATAGGCACGTCCTTCTCCGGCCCTGTCCCCGACGTCCTTGGCAATGCTAACGTTCTTCTCGTGATACTCTATTGCTCGTTGAAAGTCGCCGACGTTTTTATAAGCATTGCCGAGATTACCATAGGCACGTACTTCTCCGGCCCTGTCGACGACGTCATTGGAAATGCTAAGGTGTTTCTCGTGGTACTCTATTGCTCGTTGGAAGTCGCCAATAGAGTGATAAGCATTGCCTAGATTGCAATAGGCACCTTTTTTCCCGGCCCTGTTGACAACATCCTTGGCAATACGAAAAACTTTATCGTGGTACTCTTTTACTCGTTGAAAGTCGCGGATAGAGTGATAAGCATTGCCGAGATGGCAATAGGCACCTCCATCTCCGGCCCTGTTGCCAACGTCCTTGGCGATGGTAAGGTCTTTCCCGTGGTACTTTATTACTCGTTGGAAGTCGCCCATAGAGTGAAAAGCATTGCCGAGATTGCAATAGGCACCTCCCTCTTCGACCTTGTTGCCAACGTCCTTGGCGATGCTAAGGTTTATCTCGTGGTACTCTATTACTGGTTGGAAGTCGCCAAGGTTTTTATAAGCCTTGCAGAGATTGCCATAGGCACGTCCTTCTCCGGCCCTGCTGCCAACGTCCTTGGCAATGCTAAGGTGTTTCTCGTGGTACTCTATTGCTCGTTGGAAGTCGCCGAAGTTTTGATAAGCATTGCCGAGATTGCCATAGGCACGTACTTCTCCGGCCAAGTCGAGCACGTCCTTGAAAATGCTTAGGTGTTTCTCGTGGTACTCTATTACTCGTTGGAAGTCGCCGATAGAGTGATAAGCATTGCTGAGGTTGCAATAGGCACCTCCTTCTCCGGCACTGTTGCCAACGTCCTTGGCAATGCTAAGGTCTTTCTCTTGGTACTCTATTACTCGTTGGAAGTTGCCTTGGTTTTTATAAGCATTGCCGAGATTGCAATAGGCACGTCCTTCTCCGGCCCTGTCGCCGACGTCCTTGGGAATGCTAAGGTGTTTCTCGTGGTACTCTATTGCTCTTTGGAAGTCGCCGATAGAGAGATAAGCATTACCGAGATTGCAAAAGGCACCTCCTTCTCCGGCCCAGTTGCCAACGTGCTTGGGGATGATAAGGTCTTTCTCGTGGTACTCTATTACTCGTTGGAAGTCGCCAAGGTTTTTATAAGCATTGTCGAGATTGCAACAGGCGCCTCCTTCTCCGGCCCTGTTGCCAAAATCCTTGGCAATGCTAAGGTCTTTCTCCTGGCACTCTATTACTCGTTGGAAGTCGCCAATAGAGTGATAAGCATTGCCGAGATTGCAATAGGCACCTCCTTCTCCGGCCCTGTTGCCAACGTCCTTGGCAATGCTAAGGTTTTTCTCGTGATACTTTGTTGCTCGTTTTAAAAGAATTGCCGAGATTGCCACTGGCACGTCCTTTTGCGGCCCTGTTGCCGACGTCCTTGGCAATGCTAAGGTGTTTCTCGTGGTACTCTATTACTCGTTGGAAGTCGCCTATAGAGTGATAAGCATTGCCGAGATTGCCACTGGCACGTCGTTCTCCGGCCCTGTGGCCGACGTCCTTGGCAATGCTAACGTGTTTGTCGTGATACTCTATTGCTCGTTGGAAGTTGCCGAGAAAGTGATAAGCATTGCCGAGGTTGCAATAGGCACGTCCTTCTCTGGCCCTGTTGCCGACGTGCTTGGCAATGCTAAGGTGTTTCTTATGGTACTCTATTGCTCGTTGGAAGTTGCCGAGAGAGAGATAAGCATTGCCAAGATTGCAATTAGCACGTCCTTCTCCGGCCCTGTTGCCGACGTCCTTGGCAATGCTAAGGTGTTTCTCGTGATACTCTATTGCTCGATGGAAGTAGCCAAAAATTTGATAAGCATTGCCGAGATTGCAACTGGCACGTCCTTCTCGGGCCCTGTTGGCGACGTCCTTGGCAATGCTAAGGTGTTTCTCGTGGTACTCTATTGATCGTTGTAGGTCTGTGAGGTTTTTATAAGCATTGCCGAGATTGCCATAGGCACGTCCTTCTCCGGCCCTGTCGCAGATGTCCCTAGCAATGCTAAGGTGTTTCTCGTGGTAGTCTATTGCTCGTTGGAAGTCGCCGAGGTTTTGGTAAGCATTACCGAGATTGCCATAGGCACGTACGTCTCCGGCCTAGTCGACGACGTTCTTGGGAATGCTAAGGTGTTTCTCGTAGTACTCTATCGCTGGTTGGAAGTCGCCGATAGTTTTATAAGCATTGCCGAGATTGCAATAGGCACCTCCTTCTCCGGCCCTGTTGCCAACGTCCTTGGCAATGCTAATGGCCTTTCTCGTGGTACTCTGTTGGTCTTTGGAAGTCGCCGATTAGAGAGATAAGCATTGCCGAGATTGCCACTGGCACGTCTTTTTCCGGCCCTGTTGCCGACGTCCTTGGGAATGCTAAGGTGTTTCTCGTGGTATTCTATTACTCGTTGGAAGTCGCCGAGATTTTTATAAGCATTGCCGAGATTGCCATAGGCACGTCCTTCTACGGCCCTGTCGCTTACGTCCTTGGCAATGCTAAGGTGTTTCTCGTGGTACTCTATTGCTCTTTGGAAGTCGCCGAGAGAGTGATAAGCATTGCCGAGATTGCAATAGGCACGTCCTTCTCCGGCCCTGTTGTCGACGTCCTTTGCAATGCTAAGGTGTTTCTCGTGATACTCTATTGCTCGTTAGAAGTCGCCAAAGTTTTCTTAAGCATTGCCGAGATTGCCACTGGCACTTCCTTCTCAGGCCCTGTTGCCGACGTCCTTGGCAATGCTAAGGTGTTTCTCGTGATACTCTATTGCTCGTTGGAAGTAGACGAGGTTTTTATAAGCATTGCGAGATTGCCATAGGCACGTCCTTCTCCGGCCCTTTCGCCGATGTTCTTAGCAATGCTAAGGTGTTTCTCGTGGTACTGTATTGCTCGTTTGAAGTCGCCGAGGTTTTGATAAGCATTGCCGAGATTGCCATAGGCACGTTCTTCTCCGGCCTAGTCAACGACGTCTTTGGAAATGCTAAGGTGTTTCTCGTGGTACTCTATTGCTCGTTGGAATTCGCCGATAGAGAGATAAGCATTGCCGAGATTGCAATAGCCACCTCCTTCTCCGGCCCTGTTGCCAACGTGCTTGGCGATGGTAAGGTCTTTCTCGTGGTACTCTATTACTTGTTGGAAGTCGCTGAGGTTTTTATAAGCATTGCCGAGATTGCCATAGGGACGTCCTTCTCGGGCTCTGTTGCCAACGTCCCTTGCAATTCTAAGGTGTTTCTCGTGGCACTCTTTTGCTCGTTGGAAGTCGCCAAGGGTTTTATAAGCATTGATGAGATTGCCATAGGCACGTCCTTTTCTGGCCCTGTCGCCTACGTCCGTGGCAATGCTAACGTCTTTCTCTTGGTACTTTATTGCTCGTTGAAAGTCGCCGACGTTTTTATAAGCATTGCCGAGATTGCCGTAGGCACGTACTTCTCCGGCCCTGTCGACGACGTCATTGGAAATGCTAAGGTCTTTCTCGTGGTACTCTATTGCTCGTTGGAAGTCGCCAATGGAGTGATAAGGATTGCCGAGATTGCAATAGGCACCTTTCTCTCTGGCCCTGTTGACAACATCCTTGGCAATGCTAAAAACTTTATCGTGGTACTCTATTACTCGTTGAAAGTCGCCGATAGAGTGATAAGCGTTGCCGAGATTGCAATAGGCACCTCCATCTCTGGCCCTGTTGCCAACGTCCTTGGCGATGGTAAGGTCTTCCTCGTGGTACTCTTTTACTCGTTGGAAGTCGCCAATAGAGTGAAAAGCATTGCCGAGATTACAATAGGCACCTCCTTCTCCGACCCTGTTGCCAACGTCGTTGGCGACGCTAAGGTCTTTCTCGTGGTACTCTATTACTCGTTGGAAGTCGCCGAGGTTTTTATAAGCATTGCCGAGATTGCCATAGGCACGTCCTTCTCCGGCCTTGTTGCCAACGTCCTTGGTAATGCTAAGGTGTTTCTCGTGGTACTCTATTGCTCGTTGGAAGTCGGCAAGGTTGTTATAGCGGATCTCCCGCGCGCGCGAATCGCGCACGCAGCGTAGCACTATGGGTGAGAAAATGTGGTAAACTATCCATCCCAGAAAATTTGGTTATGACGTAGCGTACGTCCGTCCTTAGGGACTTTTCGGGTAGTGGAAAGTAGTCCGCATGGACTCTTGGGGTAGAGGAAAGTAGAGATTTGTTGGCGGGAAATCGCATGGCGCAACGTCGCGCAACTATAGCGTGCAACTGGTTTTTGAAAAAAAGAAAGCAAGTAGAAAGAGTCAGAGCGAGAAGAAGGAGAGAAAATTATAGTGAAAAACGCTGGCAAGCAGAACGAGACAGAGCTTTATGAACAGACAAAGGCAACGCGAAAGAGAAATACAAAGGCAAAGAGAACGGCAGCAAAATAATGACATGATGACAGAAAGTGTTGTGTTAATGTCACTATGGCCCCACGCTATTAACATTTTGATTTCAAACTGATCTCGGACTCGAAAATTCAGCCAGTCATTTAAAATTACAAGCAGGGAAGACAGAGGCTTTTCACTTTTCTCACCATAGTCACGCGTTGATCACGCTCTACGACCGTCCAATTTTTATGCTCTGATTGGTCAAAATTTGACAGGTGAGTTCATGCAGAAATTGATTTATACAGCATCTTGAACCTTGTTTACTTTCAGTTTGACAGCTGAAGCTGACAGAGTATTTTGTCAACTTGTGATGTTTTTTACTGTCTTTTTCCACTGGATGCTTAAAGTGAAATACAGCTGCTATCAACAGTCCTCTTTGATTCATGGCTGGTTTGTTTAGTGAATTTTTGGTCGGGAAATGCGCCGGTTGCCAAAGTTGGAAATCCGATTTCGGATGCATCGCTTTCGTTTTTACCTTGCTGGATGCGGGTTGAAAAGTCCCTCAAGCGATTCTGGCCTTAGTTTCAAAAGCTGCATCTCGAGTGGTAAGCCTAAGTAATTATTGTATACAGTGTATGTTTGTTTTTTTACATCTAATTTCATGAAGTCGAGCGCAGTTTATGAGGCTAATTTATGCACGTTTGTATTAAGATCTGAGACAATGATCTGATCTAGTATATATAAGCTTACAGAACTTTAAAAAGCCTTAAGTCGATATTTTCTCTCCGCATATAGAACGAAAAAACGTTCCGAAGAGTATTTAGTTACAATTTTGGCTGTAGAAAGAAAGCTTCGAGCGATTTTCTTGCCTCGAGTTCATCTTTGAAAACAGTAAACACCAGGAAGCCGGCTAAAAGCTTTAAGCTTAAGCTTAAAGACTCAGGATTTTTAGAGACGCTTTAATACTTGTCTTCGTGAATGAAAATTGTTGTCTCTGTAAATGTTTCACCGAATCACATTTCTTTCCTTGATTGTTAGTAGTCTCTTACAATTTTAATCGCTTTGCCGTTTGTTTTCAGTCGTTCATAAACAACGCTTCCAGGAGTACTCAAAATGCTGCTCGTATCAAACGCTTTTTAAGATTACACATCGTTATAAAACCATTTAATAAAAAAAATAAACACAATAAATTCTTTATTATGTTGAAGCGTAACTTTTTTAATGTTCACTGAAAATTTGGCGCTTGTCAAAAGTGAGAACCGGCTGGCCGTATAGGTGATTTTGGAAATTTTTTGAACGGTTTTGCTAAAAGCCCACGCGTGCTTCGTACGGTTCTGAATATTGAATGAGTGCAATTTGTCTTGAAAATTGTGAAATACTGCATTTTGTCTGAGGTCTATATGATAAAAACAACGCCTCATATTACTGTTTCAGATGTGATGTATAAAAAGTATGAAATGTTGGTTTACACGCTCCCAGAGTTGTTGGCAAGATTTTGTTAAGTAAACTTATCGAACGCAAAAAATTCGGCCTGATTTGTTTTCCAGAAATTCGTTTTCCAGGCCTAATCTACTGTGATCAAGAGCCATTATGGCTCTAAAATGTGATCGAAGATAATTGCTATTTTTTGGGTGTATATATACGGCTATCAATTCGATGTAAGATTTTTTTTTTACTCTAAAATCAATTAGCCTTAGCTTTCCCTTAAATTTAACTGATTTGTGGATTACAAGTTTATTGTTTGATTTAAGTCATAATTTACTAATGGGAGCTTCGCTTTTAGCCCTGGCTAAATCTATATATTAAGCATTGATGAGATTGCCAGAGGCACGTCCTTCTCCGGCAATGTCGCCGATGTCCTTGGTAATGCTAACGTCTTTCTCGTGATACTCTATTACTCGTTGGAAGTCGCCACGGTTTTTATAAGCATTGCCGAGATTGCAATAGGCACGTACTTCTCCGGCCCTGTCGACGACGTCATTGGAAATGCTAAGGTGTTTCTCGTGGTACTCTATTGCTCGTTGGAAGTCGCCGATAGAGTGATAAGCATTGCCGAGATTGCAATAGGCATCTCCTTCTCCGGCCCTGTTGCCAACATCCTTGGCAATGCTAAGGTCTTTCTCGTGGTACTCTATTACTCGCTGGAAGTCGCCGATAGAGTGATAAGCATTGCCAAGATTGCACTAGACACCTCCTTCTCCGGCCCTGTTGCCAACGTCCTTGACAATGCTAAAGTCTTTCTCGTGGTACTCTATTGCTTGTTGGAAGCCGCCGAGAGAGTGATAAGCATTGCCGAGATTGCAATAGGCACGTCCTTCTCCGGCCCTGTTGCCAACGTCCTTGGCAATGCTAAGGTCTTTCTCGTGGTACTCTATTACTCGTTGGAAGTCGCCGAGGTTTTTATAAGCATTGCCGAGATTGCCATAGGCACGTCCTTCTCCGGCCCTGTCGCCGACGTCTTTGGCAATGTTAAGGTATTTCTCGTGGTACTCTATTGCTCGTTGGAAGTCGCCGACAGAGTGATAAGCATTGCCGAGATTGCAATAGGCACGTCCTTCTCCGGCCCTGTTGCCGACGTCCTGGGCAATGCTAAGGTGTTTCTCGTGATACTCTATTGCTCGTTGGAAGTCGCCGAGATTTTTATAAGCATTGCCGAGATTGCCATAGGAACGTCCTTCTACGTCCCTGTCGCTTACGTCCTTGGCAATGCTAAGGTGTTTCTCGTGATACTCTCTTGCTCGTTGGAAATCGCCAAGGTTTTGATAAGCATTGCCGAGATTGCCACTGGCACGTCCTTCTCCGACCGTGTTGCCGACGTCCTTGGCAATGCTAAGGTTTTTCTCGTGGTTCTCTATTGCTCGTTGGAAGTCGCCGAGGTTTTTATAAGCATTGCCCAGATTCCCATAGGCCCGTCCTTCTGCGGCCCTGTCGCCGATGTCCTTGGCAATGCTAAGGTGTTTCTCGTGTTACTCTATTGCTCGTTGGAAGTCGCTGATAGAGTTATAAGCATTGCCGAGATTGCAATAGGCACCTCCTTCTCCGGCCCTGTTGCCAACGTCCTTGGCGATGCTAAGGTGTTTCTCGTGGTATTCTATGACTCGTTGGAAGTCGCCAAGGTTTTTATAAGCATTGCCGAGATTGCAATAGGCACGTCCTTCTCCGGCCCTGTCGCCGACGTCTTTGGCAATGCTAAGGTGTTTCTCGTGGTACTCTATTGCTCGTTGGAAGTCGCCGATAGAGTGATAAGCATTGCCGACATTGCAATAGGCACGTCCTTCTCCGGCCCTGTTTCCGACGTCCTTTGCGATGCTAAGGTCTTCTTTGTGGTACTCTTTTACTCGTTGGAAGTCGCCGAGGTTTTTATAAGCATTGCTGAGATTGCCAGAGGTACGTCCTTTTCCTGCCCTGTTGCCAACGTTCTTGGCAATGCTAAGGTGTTTCTCGTGGTACTCTATTGCTCTTTGGAAGTCGCCAAGGTTTTTATAAGCATTGATGAGATTTCCATAGGCACGTCCTTCGCCGCCCCTGTCGCCGACGTCCTTGGCAATGCTAACGTCTTTCTCGTGATACTCTATTGCTCGTTGGAAGTTGCCGAGAAAGTGATAAGCATTGCCGAGGTTGCAATAGGCACGTCCTTCTCTGGCCCTGTTGCCGACGTGCTTGGCAATGCTAAGGTGTTTCTCATGGTACTCTATTGCTCGTTGGAAGTTGCCGAGAGAGTGATAAGCATTGCCGAGATTGCAATAAGCACGTCCTTCTCCGGCCCTGTTGCCGACGTCCTTGGCAATGCTAAGGTGTTTCTCGTGATACTCTATTGCTCGATGGAAGTAGCCAAAAATTTGATAAGCATTGCCGAGATTGCAACTGGCACGTCCTTCTCGGGCCCTGTTGGCGACGTCCTTGGCAATGCTAAGGTGTGTCTCGTGGTACTCTATTGCTCGTTGCAGGTCGCCGAGGTTTTTATAAGCATTGCCGAGATTGCCATAGGCACGTCCTTCTCCGGCCCTGTCGCAGATGTCCCTAGCAATGCTAAGGTGTTTCTCGGGGTAGTCTATTGCTCGTTGGAAGTCGCCGAGGTTTTGGTAAGCATTACCGGGATTGCCATAGGCACGTACGTCTCCGGCCTAGTCGACGACGTTCTTGGGAATGCTAAGGTGTTTCTCGTAGTACTCTATCGCTGGTTGGAAGTCGCCGATAGTTTTATAAGCATTGCCGAGATTGCAATAGGCACCTCCTTCTCCGGCCCTGTTGCCAACGTCCTTGGCAATGCTAATGGTCTTTCTCGTGGTACTCTGTTGGTCTTTGGAAGTCGCCTATAGAGTGATAAGCATTGCCGAGATTGCCACTGGCACGTCCTTTTGCGGCCCTGTTGCCGACGTCCTTGGCAATGCTAAGGTGTTTCTCGTGGTACTCTATTACTCGATGGAAGTCGCCGAGATTTTTATAAGCATTGCCGAGATTGCCATAGGCATGTCCTTCTACGACCCTGTCGCCGACGTCCTTGGCAATCCGAAGGTGTTTCTCGTGGTACTCTATTGCTGGTTGGAAGTCGGCGATAGAGTGATAAGCATTGCCGAGATTGCAATAGGCACGTCCTTCTCCGGCCCTGTTGCCGACGTCCTTTGCAATGCTAAGGTGTTTCTCGTGATACTCTATTGCTCGTTAGAAGTCGCCAAAGTTTTCTTAAGCATTGCCGAGATTGCCACTGGCACTTCCTTCTCAGGCCCTGTTGCCGACGTCCTTGGCAATGCTAAGGTGTTTCTCGTGGTACTCTATTGCTCGTTGGAAGTCGCCGAGGTTTTTATAAGCATTGCGGAGATTGCCACAGGCACGTCCTTCTCTGGCCCTGTCGCCGACGTCCTTGGTAATGCTAAGGTGTTTCTCGTGATACTCTATTGCTCGTTGGAAGTCGCCGAGGTTTTTATAAGCATTGCGAGATTGCCATAGGCACGTCCTTCTCCGGCCCTGTCGCCGACGTCTTTGGCAATGCTAAGGTGTTTCTCGTGGTACTCTATTGCTCGTTGGAAGTCGCCGATAGAGTGATAAGCATTGCCGACATTGCAATAGGCACGTCCTTCTCCGGCCCTGTTGCCGACGTCCTTTGCGATGCTAAGGTCTTCTTTGTGGTACTCTTTTACTCGTTGGAAGTCGCCGAGGTTTTTATAAGCATTGCTGAGATTGCCAGAGGTACGTCCTTTTCCTGCCCTGTTGCCAACGTTCTTGGCAATGCTAAGGTGTTTCTCGTGGTACTCTATTGCTCTTTGGAAGTCGCCAAGGTTTTTATAAGCATTGATGAGATTTCCATAGGCACGTCCTGCGCCGCCCCTGTCGCTGACGTCCTTGGCAATGCTAACGTCTTTCTCGTGATACTCTATTGCTTGTTGGAAGTCGCCTATAAAGTTATAAGCATTGCCGAGATTGCCATAGGCACGTACTTCTCCGGCCCTGTCGAAGACGTCCTTGGAAATGCTAAGGTGTTTCTCGTGGCAGTCTATTGCTCGTTGGAAGTCGCCAATAGAGTGATAAGCATTGCCGAGATTGGAATAGGCACCTCCTTCTCCGGCCCTGTTGCCAACGTCCTTGGCGATGCAAAGGTCTTTCTCGTTGTACTCTCTTACTCGTTGGAAGTCGCCGATAGAGTGATAAGCATTGCCGAGATTGCAAGAGGCACCTCCTTCTCCGGCCCTGTTGCCAACGTCCTTGGCGATGCTAAGGTCTTTCTCGTGGTAATCTATAACTCGTTGGAAGTCGCCGAGGTTTTTATAAGCATTGCCGAGATTGCAATAGGACGAAATAACTTGTTTCCTTATTTTGGAAACTCGACGGAAAGGGGAAGTTGCTTATATCCGTCACGTTTCCGCCCTGTGGAAACATGGTGATCTAGTTTTCCATGGACGGGACGCGTTTCCGCCATGTTTCCGCGTCGGAAACGAACGATCATGTTTCCGCCACATTTCTGTCATCACATTTCCGTTCTTTCTTGTTTCCGTTACGTTTCAGGTGACGAATTTTTTTCTTTTATTTTTAACCCATGTCCAAGATCGCATGATCAATGTTTCGTAAACTTTGCCTTGGCGTACAATTAAGGTGAATAAAGGTAAATTTACTCTCGAAATTAAACGGTTCTCATGCATTACTCGCGCGCGTTGCATTGATGCAAAGACTGTGAAGTGTGCGAGGTTGCCATTGCTTTCCATTCTAAGTGATAAAAATCGCAGAGCTTACCAACAGCTTTCAATATTTGCGAGATTGATGTTAATCAGTACTAGTACTGGCGTAAAACTAAAATGCTCTTAGACGGAGAAAACAACAGAGAAAACAAGAGAGAATGGCGCCTAGAACAGAGCGGAGTGCTGGTCAGCGGACTTTTCCTTTGCTCATGCTCATTACGGTCATTCTTGTTGGCGTCCATTTTGAAAGTGATTTCAACGGCTTCAAATTTGCCAGCTTCTATAGGTTCTAGGAGCGTGGAATCGGTATATTTTTGCTTTCTGATGATACCACAAGACATCTAAGGGTTGTTATGTATATTTAACGACCCATCGGCCTTCAGTAATCGATCGCTTCCCTCGTAAAGCGACTCTTTTCTGACACAGTGGAGCAGAATGTGAGACAAAAACCTCGTGATGCGCAAGTATAATTTGAAAGTTGGAGTGTTTTACCGTGCTAAGGCTATCCAAGGCGGAGGATTGTGATGGAATACCGATAGTAAGACGAGGTAAGCTTAACAGTTTTCCATATTTCATTTTTGTGGTCTGTAGCATTTGAGATAATGCTTGGGAGACATATTTGTTGACACAAAGCTGTGATTGATAAGTACAGTAATTTCCCGAGCAGGAAACTGCAACATAATGAAGCTGAATCCTCTTACTAAACAAGGCAAGGCGCTGCACTGTGAGGTCTGTGAAATGATTGTAGAAAAATGGTTAGAGGGTTCCAGTTATTTTGTTACAAATAGTATATGCATGGTGAGTCCTGGGACTCATTTTGTGAGTAGTCAAGAGTTCTGGCCTGTCCACATGCACAACCAGTGAGTCCCAGTTAAAAAACAGGGAGTCCTTTATTGAAAATGCTTGGTATGGGCCTTTTAACCAGACAGTTAATCTGGAGACAGATGCCAAAACTTTTTATGACAGTTTACTAAAATGAAAATATAGTCCTATATATTTAAAGCACAAAAAGACTAAAATAATTATATACATCTTTAAACAACAGCTACAGAAATCGCACAAACAGGATATTCTACCAACAAATCTTCAAATCGATCGATCATCCTTTGCATCCTATGGGATGCATGCCATGAATTATTTTGTGTCTTTGGATGATTTTTTGTGTGAGGGACACAAGATGCAGAGGTAACAAAATCACTGGGGTTTGAAACCATTCCAAATAGTGCACGAGTTTAATTTACTGAGAAGGACGGTAACAAATATTGTTGATCGTTTCATATGTCCAGGAAGCCCCCTACACAGAGTTTTTTAAACAGCGACGACCAAGTATGTATGCTACGGAAATACAAAAACGTTTAATCGAAAATCAGGTTGTTGACCCGCAAAGGTTCGATAAGTCATGTATTGACACGTGATTTCGGTTACTCTTGCAAAGAGTTGACAATAGTTCCAAAAGAGAGCTAAATCTAATAATATAATAATGCTTGACTGAGAATGCTCAAGAAAAAGTTGAAGCATATATTTTTTTCAGTAATTGTGATCCCAGGAATAGGTACTTCTTTGACGAGAACTCGGTGATTAAAACAACTGGGAAGTGAAGTTACTGTTGAGCAAACTTGTGAAGCTCAGTCGTAGTTGACAACTATGTCTTGAAGTTCGCAATTTGATTCCCTAACTTGCTAAGTAATTGGCTACTTCATGATGTAGTACCGAATTTTCCAACGAACTTTGCAACATGGTGTGGTAAATAATGTGAAATCGACTGTAACAGAGTGATCCAGACTTTAAGAACGCTTTCCATTTGTCGGAACTGGCCGGCCGGACCATTGTCCAACCAGTCGGTTTGATATTGAAATACGCTTTTGCCAAGAGTTTTTGCTGAACAACCATTTCCTTGGTGCATACTACTTAGGATTTGACTGATCTGGCTGGAGAGATTTGATTAAAATGGAAATTCTCATTGCGTTGGGAATGGTTTGGCCAGTCAGTTCTGACAAATGGAAAGCGCCCTAAGTCTTCATTTCAGTGGACAGCAAAACCAGCAGTGGAGTTAAACTAGTAAAACCACTTTTATTTATCCTGTATTACCCTGCAGTTCTATGCAAACATCATATTGACCAGGGGGAAGGAGGGTACTCCTTAAATATGTTCTCTTGAAATCCAAACAATGTTCCCACAACTTGCAAAGCAACCAGCAGATTTGTTTACTGATCATTCCTTGAATATCCACACTCATAGCTCAGCATACATTGTTGTCAGTTAAGATGGTACGTGGTTGCGGTGACTGTCACATTTTTTTAGTTTCTCTTGCATCTTCAATACCAAGAAACAATAACAACATGTGAGAAAAACAAAGAGGCATGATATTTTTGTCAATTATTGACTTATTTTCTCTGTTGGTTCGCCTCTCACTGCTAATATATTTACTTTAGGAAACACATGTACATGTATATCCAGCATATCACATTGAATGTTTGGCTTTCAAACTAGATCAAACTCTTTCGAATGAAAGAGTTTGATGCAGCTCAGCCATTCAACAAAACCCACTCACAAAAAAAAATTGAATAGATCATTTGATTTTTGAAGTCAGTCAAACATTGAGTTGGGTTATCAAACAAAGTGGAACTCACATAAGAAACACTCGAATGGAACAAAAACAAGCGTTTCAGTTCCAAGCAATTGATGACAAGTGTGTTAATTATTGATCTAGTGTGAAAGCAGTCAAGGCAATGTAAGATCCTGCTTCTTTTATTATTTCCATTTCAGAGTTAAATTCTAAAATAAACATTTTCTGTGAAAATGTCAATACATTTATTTTGTTTACCAAGGAAAAAGTCTTTAAATCTGCAAGGTGAAATCATCTTGTGAATCATCTCAGTTATTACTCTTCACTCCTTAATTGGCCTCAATAATATTGTAGCATATTCTGAATCCAGCACTTGTCAGATTTCCCTGGCTTGTTGAGTTGACTCAGTTTTCACATTTTATTTTTTTCCAATATAATTTGGTTTGTTTCGATTTTGTTCAGGCATCAAACTCTCCAGAAAGCCGGTTTGATATTGTTTGATGGCCAAACTGTTTTGTTCGGGGGAGTTTGATGGGAACTTTGTTTTGCGTAATACATTGTACACCGGAAGTATACATTTACTGCAGTAAATTATCTGCTGCCCACCAGGGTTATTGCTTTACAAGTTGTGAGAACATCATTTCTTGCACCCAGACCTTGTTACTTTCCCCTGCTTCCCCTGGTATTGACCCTGTACGTGTAGATGATAATGTACAACCTGAGGGAGGTTGTGCCCTTGAAAAGTAGGCTTTTTGTTACTGGTACTGGTAATCATAGACAGCCTCTGTTTACATTTACATGTACATGTAACCCCTGGTCCATAGTCTTAACGTTGCAGGTTGCGGGCAACATAATGTACTAGCTATTACTATGAAACACAACTGTATGCATGTAAAATTATTGTAATGTGATGAATCAGGGTTGTCAGAAAGTTTTGAAGTAGACAGCTGAGTTGTCAAAATAAGCGGCCAGTAAATTATATGTATATTACTCATTTAGTATTTTTTATTCGTATGAGAATATCTACATTAGTAAAGTTGTCTTACTGCTAAAAGGTTTTCCCTCCGCCCCCCCCTCCCCCCCGCCCCCGATAGCCTGGGGAATAGCTTCTGTGTTTTACTTATTAGCACTTTGTTTTGTTTTTCATACAACAGGCCAGGCAGATCACCTTGGTATGTGATGTTGGTGCAGAACGTTCTCTCAAAGCAGGCTGGTTCATGGAACTTAATTTCAGTCTCAAGTTACTGTGCTTTATGCTTAGTCAAGTTCTGCAAATGTTAATCTTGAAATACTACTTCTATGCTAAAGACAAAAAATGTCCAACTGCTACCTCGAGTGGGCAAGGTGAAGCAAACCTTGCATTCTAATTGGCTACCCAAGGGGGCAAGGTGAGCCCATTTTGCCCACTTGGGATTTCCTGCGTTGGTCCCGCAAGTAAAAGTTCTCTTCTTGGCCATTGCTTGTTCATTCAAGATGGCTGAATATTGACCTCATTCATTTTTGTATTTTTATTGACCAAGACCAGGCTGTGCTCTGTAGCCCGTTGCGCCTACATCTGTAACTTTTGTTCTCAGGCGACTAGAAAATCTTTGCTTTTTCATAGAAATCATTTGCTGGGCACACTGGATTTCACAAGTTCAGAGTGCTGGGCTGCCTTCAATTTTTCTTAGAGCACAGCCTTGCAAGGGAAGGCAGGGTCAATAAAGACGCAAATATCCAGCCATCTTAACCTCACACCCGGTCAATAAAGCATAATTATTTATTACAATTTTATGGTTGAATCCGTGAGCGGGCAAGGTGAAGCAAATCCTGTGTTCTAATTGGCTACTCAAGTGGGCAAACCAATCAAGCTTCTTCGGTGAAGATAGCTGGGTATTGGCCTCGCAAAAAAGAGCCTGGCCAATATCCAGGCATCTTGACTGAATGTTGGTCATTTATAACAATAATAATTATTAGAACTTTGTGAACATCTTTTCCAGAAAGGCATTTTATATTCCTTTAAAAGGGCTAGGTTATGCTATGCTATATTTTGTTCTTTGAGAGGCTTAAATGTGTCTTGGCTTAAATTAAGTTCCAAAAATAATGG